CCTTTTCCTTCTCTCCTACCCCAATCCCCTCAGTCCAAGAGGAGAAGAGTAGTTGAGAGCTGGGACTTGGCAAGATGGGGCTAAGGTCTCTCTGGGGATGGGACATCCCGCCCCCAAGGGGGACTCAGGGCCTGCTCAGGCACCTCCTTGGGAGTGGGATCAGGGAGCAGAAAGCCTTACTCCCCACTGGTTCCATCCTTCCCGGGCCTCCAGTCCCCTCCCCACTGCAGTGTGGGCATGTGGGCTCCTGGCACGTACCCGGTGATAAGGCCACCCAGCAGGCAGGACGTGGGCTACGTGAGGGGCCAGCGGAGGCGGCTGCTTTGGCCAGCAGCTGCCTGCCCAGCTCAAGGGGCCAAGGCCGGGAGGCTGGGCTGTGGGGTCCATTGTCTGCTTGCCTCTCCGCCCCCCCCGGCGGGCACAGGCTCAGCAGCAGCGGCAGCGGGCTCTTGGCAGAAGCTTGGTCCTGCTCCCCCCACGCAGGCACGCCCTGGCCCGCACGTCCTCGCCTGGGCTTCCAGCCACCATGGTGCTGCCCACTGCTCTGGCCACTGTTGCTGCTGGCCTCCGGGGGGCACTGCTTGGGCACCTGGGAAGTCCTCACAGGGTGAGGCCTGGGGGCCTCATCTTGGGGTTGTCAGGGGCTCAGTCCACCTGGGTGGGACAGACTTGGAAAAGGGCAGAGGAAAGGTGGTCTTCTGGGCACGGGGGTGGGGCAAGGTGACCCCTGGATGCAGCTTTGGAGAGTTATTGAAATGCCCATGTCAGACTTCAGATCTGCGGGATCTGGGGGGCAGGGAGCTGGTGCTAACCAGCGTATGACCTTGGCCTGCCCTCTCAGGTCTCAGTTTCCTTAGCTGTACAATGCAGGGATTGGAAAGGACCCATCTCCAGGTTCAGTGTTCTGTGATACGGGGTGCCCTTGCTCTTCCTGGCTGAGCTCAACCCCAGTGGAGACCAGTGCACAAGATGGAGCATCTCCTGATCTGTGTCTCCCTCTCCCTTTCTCCATCAAAGTGCAGTGAGGGTAAGGGTCCCTGCAGCCCAATGCCCTTGGGAGTCACTGAGGTGAGGCCTGACAGCTCACTTCCCCCTCAGAGCTCCCAGCCCTGTGCCTCCCAGGACCAGAGCTGTGGCCTCTGGTCAACAGGTTAAAAATAACCCCCATGGGATCTTCTCCCTCCGCAGGAATGGTGTTTGTGTTGGCATCTGTGGCCCCTCTGGCCCTGCCAACTTCCACAGCATGTGACATTGTCAGGGGACCATAGGTGTGAGGAAGTCAGCTGGAGGGGCTTGTGCTGCCCCGACTCCAGGTGAAGCTGCAGTGCAGGGTCAGAGACAGCTGCCACAGGGCTAGGGGCACATGATGGGCAGGGTGAGGCCCACTTGTGGAAATAAAATCATACAGGCTGCAGTCTGGGCTGTCAGGTGCTGGGCGAGGGCTGGGCCGGGCAGAGCTGTGTCACTATGTCATCCACAGTCCTCAGGTCCCAGGAGTCACAGGACTGTGGAATCAAGGAATTCTATACTTGAACTTGGAGATACTTGCAGTTCAACCTCTACCCAGAAAGGAGAAAAATAGCAGCTCACTATAGAATATTTATGGATCTTGTCCTGGGTGCCAGGCTCTCAGCTGGCAGCCACTGAATTAATTCTCTCAGCGGCCCTCTGAGCCCAGCTCTGGTTTTTCTGTTTAAAAACAGAAGACGAGGGCCGGCCCGGTGGCTTAGCGGTTAAGTGCACGCGCTCCGCTGCTGGCGGCCCGGGTTCGGATCCCGGGCGTGCACCGACGCACCGCTTCTCCGGCCATGCTGAGGCCGCGTCCCACATACAGCAACT